TCGCATCCTTTGCCCAAACATAAATGTCCGTCTTCGCCTCATGCGCCAGCAACCGTACAGCCAGGGCCCCCGCAGGGTTCCACCGTCGCGCCGCGGTGCTCCGCTTGCAACTTCGTCGCCCCGAAAGCCTTCTTCAGTCCAGCTCTCTGCACCAGCATGCGCAAGTGCCCCTGGATCGGGCCCTTCGGCTCGAAGGCGTTGACGGGCGGCACTCGCCCGCTCGGAGGAACATGGTGCAGACCACGGCCTGCGGCAATCTATAAAAACAGTCTCCTTCACCTGCACACTGCGCAACTTTGAACCACTTGGCGAACGGCGTCGCGTGCTTGCCCACTGCTTTGCCGTCCTCTCCTCTCTGCAACTTTGACTTGGACTCCGTCTTCGTCTCATCCTTGGTCTCGACCTTACCGTCTCCTTTCTTCGCTGCACCTGCGGCCCCAGTGGCCTCCTTTGTCGATGCTGCCGTCTGTGAGGCCGCCGACGGTGGTATCTCCACTGGCTCGTCATCGATGTTCTGGATCCTCGGCTTCGCAGCTCCCCACGCACTCCGTGTCGTAGGCGATGATCCCTCCTTCGGCTTCTGTCGTGCTGGCACTTGGGGTCGCACCGCCTTTGTAATCAGCACACCACTCTTGAAAGCAAAACTCGTCGCCACCACTCCTTGCGGCGGCTCAGCATAAAATAACCAAGCTCGAGGCCCAGCTCTGGTAGGCTCCTGAACTCGCAGGAACCCTCTGTCCGTCGCCCAGTCCGCCACGTGCTGGGGGGTGGTCCAGGTCGGGAGAACGTGCTTGATGTAGTACTTCGTGAGCTCGAGCATGCCTGGGGCGCTGATCTGCGTGATCGCGCCGAGCTTGGCTCGGCCGAAGGGACGATAAACCAACACATTCCGCTGCTCTTTCAATAACCCACAAAATCTCTTGAGATAATCCTTTGGCGTCTCCTCATCCTTCTGTGTGAACCACTTCGGAGTTGTCGTCGACGCTTGCTTCATGATAAAACAGCCCAATGGCGGCACAATCTCACTCAACTTCGGCTCGAAACTCTTGGGGGTCGTCACAACGCAAGTCGTCTCAGCCTCATACACTGGAAACCCAACTCTGAGACCCCAGGAAGTCCGTGGATTTTTGGTGTGGGAACGTCACGCTGCCCGTGGAAAAACCATCGACACCCAAAAACCCCAGGGCACCCTGGAGGCGAGCAGGGTGTTTCCTGGCATGGGCCCCCACTGTAGGACCGGCTTCTCATCCCGAACGCAGTATGTTAACGGCGCGGAGGCCCAGCGAAGGCCCCCCGAGGCCGAAAAGAGCCAAACATAGGTCGTCGCAACTTTTCTCTGACGCGGCGGACGCCGGCGGCGGCGGCCCTCACGGGGGAGACCCTACCCAGCTGGTGACCCCGGTGGGCCACATTCTCCCCCCCCCCGGGGATCTGAAACCGAACCAATTCAGCCCGTGGATGTCAGGGGCCGAATATGGAAAAACCCGCACGCAACGATTCCTGCACAGCGTAAAATCCTGCTTGCAATGGCTGGTGCCCAGATGCTGCACTGGCTTGCGTGCTGGATGCAAGAGTGGCGCGTGGGTGCACTTGTGCATCTGTCGCACACGCACTACAGACAGTCAGGTAAGTTGGTCCGATTTGCCGGCCCGAAATCTCCAATCGCACGAAGGCGCCAGGCTGTGGGTCCAGCCAGGCCAGGGGCCGCCGGCCCAGCCAGCCTGGGGAAAAGGGTTTTGGCAGCAGGTCGCGGGCGATGGGCGCAGCGTCGGGTGTCCAAAAACGAATCCAGGGGCCTCCACAGACGTTGACGAGGGTACCCGCTCGGGAGTGTCAACCTCGCATCGTCCGTCTCGCTTCCAGTCCAGGCAAATCGTACCAACTTTACCCGCTGGTCTGTAGTTGCCGCCCACGCAATGGTCCGCGCCCCTGCAAGAGCTGCGCACTACTGCACGCAGCAGTGCACAATCCACGATGACGCCTCACGCCGCGACACGCTGTGCCATGCAAGCGGACTACGTGCCGCTCCACACCGTGGGCTGGAGGCTGGGACAGGCTCGGGGCGTTGACGCTTGGGGATCCCACCCGCCCTTGATGGCGTGAGTGCTTTGGAAAGTGTCCTCTTCCAACCTCCTTCTTCCCTTTCGGGGAGGGGTTTACCCCTCCCCCTGCCCCCGTGCACCTGGGTCTGGACGGGGCGTTCCGCGAGACGTTGGAGCGTACAACATGGCCTTGGCGAGGAAGCCAAACTCATTGATTTTGCCAGGGTTTGGGCCACATGGGGAGCCCCCTTCCTTTGATCCATCTCCTCCAAGATGACCCCAAGATGACCCCCGATGCTGCCAAGGGTGCCCCTAGACCGCCCCAAGGGGTGCCCAGAAGGCCCCGCGAAGAACTCAAGAGGCCCCCAAGATGCCACCCGAAGGCTCCCAAGAGACCCCCCAAGCCGCCCCATGAGGCCCTCCATGGGCACCAAAGACGCCCAAGAGGCCTCGGCGACAAGCCCCAACTCATTTAGCGTTTTCCCCCAGGTGTTGTCCACATGTTGGCCTACTGGAGGGGGGGCCCTAATGAAGGAGACTCCCTCCTTTCATCGATCTCCTCCAAAGATGGCCCCTGAGGCCCCCAGGGAGGTCCCAAGACGGCCCCAGCCCAGGAGGCCCCAAGCGGTGCCCAGGAGGCGCCCGAGATGCCCCCTAAGAGGCTGCCACCAGACCCCCACGATGCCCCAAGAGGCCTCGGCGAGACGCCCCAAATCATGTGGTTTTGCTTCCACAGGGTTTGGCCACATGTTGGCCTCCTGGAGGGGGGACCCTAATGAAGGAGACTCCCTCCTTTTTCATCGATCTCCTCCAAGATGGCCTCAAGACGGCCCCAAGAGGTGCCCAGGAGGCGCCCAAAATGCCCCCCAAGAGGCTCCCACAAGACCCCCTACGACGCCCCAAGAGGCCCCCCCAGAGGCACCCAAGACGCCCCAAGAGGCCTCGGCGACAAGCCCCGCATCACTGATGAGACTAAGATTTGGCCACATGTTGGTCTCCAAGGGGAGGACCTAAGTAAGGAGCGCCCCCCCCATTCGTTGATCGATCTCTTCCAAGATGGCCCCCGAGGCTTCCAATGGGGGTCCCAAGACAGCCCAAAGAGATGCCCAGCCCAAGATGCCCTCCAGAGGCTCCTATATAAGTCACCCCCACGAGGCTCCAAGAGGCCACCCGGAGACACCCAAGACGCCTCAAGAGGCCCCAGGACTGCCACGAGATCCCCAAGACGCCCCAAGGGAACTCCAAGAAGCTCTCGCAAGAAATCCGACGAGACTCCGAGAGGCATCCAAAAAGCCTCTGGCATTTCTGCTCGCCCTCCTCCTCCTCCTCCTCCTCCTCCTCCTCACCACCACCACCACCACCACCACCATCATCATCATCATCATCAGCATCATCATCACCACCACCACCATCATCATCATCAACATCATCATCATCATCAACATCATCAGCATCATCAGCATCATCGTCATCATCAGCATCAGCATCAGCATCATCATCATCAGCATCATCATCCTCATCCTCATCATCATCACCACCACCACTACCATCAGCATCATCATCATCACCATCATCATCATCAGTATCATCATCATCATCATCACCATCACAATCGCCATCGCCATCACCATCACCATCAGCATCATCAGCATCAGCAGCAACATCAGCATCATCAGCATCAGCAGCATCACCATCACCATCATCATCAGCACTACCACCACAACCACCATTATCATCATCATCAGCAGCAGCATCATCATCATTCTCAGCAGCATGAGCATCATCATCCCCATCCTCATCCTCACCCTCATACTCACCACTACAATATTTATCACCATCGCAAGCACAACAAACATCATCAGCATAGCCATCAACATCATCACCATCATCATCATCATCATAATCATCATCATCATCACCAGCATCATCGGCACCACCATCACCATCACCATTACGATCAATTGTATCATCATCAACATCATCATCGCCATCATCATCACACTCATCATCAACATCATCATCACCATCACCATCAACGTCACCGTCAGCATCAACAGTATCATCATCATCACCATCACCATCACCATTAGCATCGTCATCCTCATCATCAGCTCCATCAACATCATCATCATCATCATCCTCATCCACATCAGCATCATCACATTCTCTATCAGCCAACACCATCACGATCATCATGATCATCATCATCATCATCAGCATCATCATCAAAATCATTATCACCATAACCATCACGATCATAATCATCATCGTCACCACCGTCATCAGACTACTCAGAATCATTTCCAAAAACATCATCATCAGCATCACTACCATCACCAACACCATCACCATCACCACCACCACCATCATCATCATCATCATCACCATCACCATCACCATCATCATCATCAGCATCTTCACCATATCATCATCATCATCATCATCGTCATCATGATCATCATCATCATCATGAACATCATCATCATCATCATCGTCATCATCATCATCATCATCATCATCACCATCACCATCACCATCATCATCATCATCATGATCATCATCACCATCTTCATCCGCCTGTTCCTCCTCCATTCTCCTCCCTCCTACCCCTCTCCCTCCTTTTCCTCCCCCTCCTCCTCCTCCTCCTCCTCCTCCTCCATCCTCTTCCTTTTGGGGTGCGACGTCTTACCCAGCCCCTGATTGCATTAGATTCTCCTCACGCTTCCTCCACATCCCTGATCAGGGCAGCTCGTCTGGGCATCGTTTCTGCATGGGCTTCTGGGCTCCTGAACTTGGGAACTGGTGGAGGTGCCGCGCCGAAGCGCGGTGGGCCAGACCTGGCGGACCGACGCGCTGACCAGAGTCCCTGACCGTACTCCAGCTGCGCTCGTGCTTCAGGGCTCGAGGCGGTGCGGGGGGCGACGGCGGCAGCGGCGCTGACGGCGGCGGCGGCCGCGCCTCACGGGCGTGCGGTGCCTGTGCAGCGGCACGACGTACCTGCCGCCAGGGTCGCGGGCGGCCGCTGGGGCCCCCGGCGACAACGCCGCGAACGCCGCGAGGGCGAAGGCTGGGCCGCGCATGCCGGCACAGCGCCCTCCTTCGGGCGTGGCCGCGGGGCTGCTCTTCCTCCTCCGTCTCCTCGTTGTTCGTTCATCGTTCCTCGCTCCTCTTCCTGCTCCTGCTCTTCCTCCTCCTCCTCCTTCCTCCTCCTCCGCTCTTCTTCTTTATATGTGACAAGTCATCACTGTCGTACCACAAAACGTGCCCGTAGGCTAAGCCGGGCGTTTCGCATGAGACTTCCTCGCCAGAGATGATCCTGAGCCCGTAAGCCGCCGTGAAACTAAAAACAGCAGCACCGCAAACAAAACTGGACTCAGCGCAATTTGCCGCAAGGGTAAGTGCCCGGGTGAATCGATAATCAGACGCTCGGCGAATTCTTACGATATCAGCCCGTAACCAAACAAGTTGCCCGAACGCTGAAACCCAAGCACTCTTGTGAAGCATGAACGTAACCACCAAACAACCGAACGAACAACCCAACAACTAACCGAATGCATCAAACATCCGAACAACTAACCTAACTCACTCAACCTATCAATTGGCCTAACCTAACAACTAACCCATTTCTCGCTCAATACGCCCTGAAACGCTTAGGTTCGGCTTCGAATAATTTCACGTCGCCGCCCTCCACTTACCTCTTGTCCAACCCTTCCTCGCCAGCCCCCGCACCTCGGCATCCGCAACCGCTTTTGCTCGTCGGATCCTGTCCGTCCGCTTATGCTCCTCGTGTTCCAACCGCTCATCACGATTGGGCCGACAGCTCAAGATCGGTCTGGGCACAGCTCTTAGTCACGGGCTCGGATTCGTCACTGCAGACCCGCCCCGAATTTAACTTGCCGCGCGCGGTTGAGCTCGTCGCAGAACCCGACGGAGCCAAGCCCGGCGCCGCCAGGCACCTCATCGCCAAGGAGGACGATGACCGCCCCGCAAAGATGATGAAGACTTTGGGCGGCGCTCGATCGACCAGCGCATCGGCCAGCCAGTCGGCGAAACCAGACGCCGACCCCAACGCCGAGGCCGACCCCAACGCAGACCACGACGCCGAACCCGACGCAGCTTGCCCACCTCATCAGCTCCGCATGCCCGACTGCGCCGTCATGTCGGCCGCCGCCCAATTGCAGGAGGAGGCTCGCGCGCTGGGGAACGGCCCCTGACCGCCTCGCCACTTGGCCACTTGCGACCTTGACATCCCCAGCGCAAATGCGAACGGTTCGTGCCCGGAAGGATGGTGGCAGCGGCTGCGTGCCCGCGATGTCTTGCAGCTGGGCCCCCACTAGATCCCGGTGGCTCTCGAAGCCTGGCACTGCCAACGCTCTGGCCACGCGCGCCATCTCGCGGTCTGCGCCTGCACGCCGCGGGCGCGGCGGCGCGAGCGCGCGGGTGGCCAGGCGACGCGGGGCCCCGCATTGGCGGTTTTCGTCGGCAAAGCTGCCCGATGCTACGCCCCCAGCGCGGCGGCGACCGCGGCCTAATCGCGCACGTGACAAATCTAACAAACGCTGCGCTCAATCTTGCGTGCCGCACTCCGCCTCTCCGCGCGGCGGCCGGGCATGCGCTGCCATGCGCGCAAATTGCTTGCGCTCGGCGCTCGCGGCATGCCACTCGGCCCGCTCGGCGCAATTGCCGCCGCGATCGCGCAGACGGGCCGACGTTGCAGCGGCGTTCGCGCAGACTTGAGCAGGGACCGACCGTCCTGGCATTCCTATAGTCATACCACGAAATGCTCTTAGAAACCCGATATGTTCGAATAACAATAACAGTATTCTTAGAACGTAAACCCGATGTGATAAAACAAGACAGTCCCAGCCAGAAATGTTCGAACAACTTTTCGTGGGAACCACCAAAAAGGTTCTTATAACATTGTGTGGTAGGGCTGTAGGCGAGCCGGGACGCTTCGCCACTGCTTGACAGACTGCAGAGCCTCGCGGTTTCTGCCGCCGTCGCGTCGCTGAAACGCCGGGGAAATGCGCGACGGACCTCGTCTGCACGCGCCATTTTGCAGCGCGCTCGCCAGCCTGACTTGGTCGCCGCTTCGACGGTGGTGCACGAATCGCGAACCGCGCCGAACAGGGCGCGCGCCCTCGCGATCCAAGTGTCGTCGGGAACTGTGCGCCCCTCATTGTGCGCGCACGTGGCGGGACAGGAGCCAAGCTGCCCGCCGCGCGCACGCGGCGCGCCCTCGGAGAGAAGCGCGGGCCAGGGCGCCCCGCGCGCGCGGCCGCGCGTTGAGCGCCTGCGCTAAGTGGACGCAAACGCGTTTGGCCCCCAGCCGCGCGAGCAATTGCCCGCTCCGCGCGGCCAGGGTCGTCTGCTAGACTCTGGCTAATTCGCCGCGCGCGGCTCATACATGCACCTTGCCGCGGCGCCGCGGTCGCGCGCGCGTGGCGCCCGGCCGCGGCCTCGTCTGCGCTGCTGCAATTGCGCCGAAAATGGAGAGCCGGACTTGCGGGTCGCCAGCCCTGGCGACTTCCGGAGCAAAACGCACCGCGGCGGCCTTCCAGCGCGCGCGCCCGCGTAGTCGGCGCCACGCGCTGTGCCGGCGATGCTGGAGCCGCAACCCGGCGGTCAACGCGACGCGGCAATCCGCCATGCCAGCGCGATTCGCGCGCGGCGCGCGCCCCGCGAGCCGGCTGGCGGGCGCCTGAGAAGTGCGACTGGGAGCCGCCGGCTTCGCTTTGTTTCCCCTTGCGGCGCAGCGCCGGCGGCGGGGCGCTCGCGCGCTCGCGGTCGCCGCGCCTAGGCGCGGGGCCGCGGGGGCCGTTGGCTCGCCCCATCAACTGCGCGAGTGGTGCCATGCCGGGTAGCTGCCTGTTCGCCGAACACGGCGAATGCGACGCGACGCGGCCGCTCGCCCGCTGTTCACGAGTCTCGCGCGCGGGGGGCTGCTGGGGCAGGCAGACGCGCGCGCGGGAGATGTCCGCGGCGCCTATCCGAAGAGCGCTCGAAGCCGCCCAATTTGCGCCGCGCGGACCGGCAAGGCCGCGACGTTAACCGCCGACGCAGACTCGGCGCGCAGCTTCGCCGAGACCGATCTGCCCGAGCGCGCGAGCCTCGAGCGCGCGCGGCGTTGCAAAACCCCGTCGCCCACGCCTCAACACTCGCGCATCCGCTTCGGCGCGCGCGGCTTCGGCGCGCCCGTCTCGGCGCAGCGCTTGGCTGCGCCTCGAGGCTCCCAGGACTTGCCCATGCATTTCTCGCCGCTGGACGAGGAGGACTTGGTCGTCCTCTTACCTTCGCGGTCTGCGTGGGGGGCCGCCCTTGGGGCCCCGCTTCTGCTGTCGCTCGGGCAGGTCAGGGAAGCCGCGCGCCGCGCACTCGCGCTCGGCGCGCGCGCGGGCTCTGTTATTGTTGCCACGCGGCGCGATCCATGTCGAAGGAGCTGGTGCCGCTGGAGCGATCGGGCCACTCGTGCTTGGCCAGATCGCCATGCGCGACCGCCAGGGCCACAGTTTCGCGCGCCCCTCGCGCCCGGCCGCGGGGCGCGCGCGCGCTGCCAGCGGCGGCCGCGCCAAGAGGGGGGGGCTGCCTGATCGAAGCGCGATCTGCGCGACGACGCCACTGTGCGCCACTGCTACCGCTGGGCAAATCTGGCCCGCGAAGAACGCGGCCAGGGCCCGACGGTCGCACGCAGCCGTCCACGCCGTGAGCGAGATGCCTAGCGAGTCGGCCGCGTCGCCCGGACTCGCGCGCGGAGACGGAATGGGCCTTCTTCGCCAGCGTCTGCCCCGTCCTGTCCGCCGCGCTTCGACCGCCCACCGGGGCAGCCACTTCTTCATATCTGCGCAAATGAATGGTTTCGCGAGCCCTTTCGCTTGGGCCGCGTCGACCCGCGCCGCGGCGAGCAAGCGCGCGCCTCGCGAGGGCGCCGATCACAATTCCCGCGCGCGCGCCCGGCCGTCGACCCGATCGCGCGACGGCGACGGCCAGCTGGCCGGCGGCAGCTCTGCGAGGCGAACAGTGCCCAGGCACTTGCCGACGTCGACGCGCGCGGCTGGCTTGCGCGCCAACGCGCCCGCGAGAGCGGCCGCGGGGTCGGCGGGTCCACGCGCCGCCTCGCCGGCGCCGAGGGCGGCGGACATGGCCGCTGCCTCGGCCTTTGCTGAATTCGCCGTCGCCCGTTTGACCGCGCGGTCAAGAGAGGCGACTTCCCCGCCGTCGAGATCGCCCCTGGTAAAGGTGCTGGCGTGAATGTCGAGCCCCGCCAAAATCTGCGACCTGGGGCGCGCGACGCAGGGCGCCCGGGCCGACGATGCCACGCGACCACGCCGCGGATGCAGTCCTAGTCGCGCTCCGCGCGGGCGTCGACAGTGAGCGGAAAGACCCGCGACTCCGTCATCTCGCGGCCGAGATCCGTCGACGGGCGCGGAACGCGCCCGCGCGCGCGCTCGCGAACCGGGCCTGGCGCGGGACAAGGGAGACAGGCGCCCCTGCCACGGTGAAAGCCGATATGGTCGCTCGTTCGCGAGCCGCGCTGGAAGCGGCTCCGAAACTCACAGTGGCCTCGCCCGACTATCGCCCTCGATCCTCATTCGGACGCGGCGCAAAGTCGACGTGGACCTCGTCCGGTCGCGCGCGCGATCCTCGTGCGGGCGCGGCGCAGACGTCGAAACAGAGCTCGTTCGGTCGTTCGCGCGCGACCCAGTCGCTCGATGGACCTCGTTCGGTCGTTCGCCGGCGATCCTCGCTCGCACGCGGCGCAGATGCAAAATGTGGACGTCGTTCGGTAGTTCGCGCGCGCGATCCTCATTCGGACGCGGCGTAAGCGTAGTATCGGGCCTCGCTCGGTCGCTCGCTCGCGATCCTCGTTCGGGCGCGGCGAAGACGTCAACGCGGACCTCGTTCGGTCGCTCGCTCGCGATCCTCGTTCGGATGCGGCGCGAACGTCGCGGCGGACCTCGTAAGGTCGTTCGCTTGCGATCCTCGTTCGGGCGCGGCGAAGACGTCAACGCGGACCTCGTTCGGTCGCTCGCTCGCGATCCTCGTTTGGATGCGGCACAGAAGTCGGAACGGACCAAGTCATTCGTTCGCTTGCGATCCTCGTTCGGGCGCGGTGCAGGACGTCGGAAAGACCTTGCGCGGTGGTTCGCGCGATCCACGCTCGGGCGCGGCGCGGATGACCCCAGACCGCGCGCGGTCGAGTGCGCGCAAACTTGGGGCGGATGCGGCGCGTGGAAAGAGTAGATGCGCGGCAGCGTTCGCCGCGAGATTTTGCTCCGAACGACCGACAAGCGTTCCTGACCTTCGAGCCCACCAAGTCGACGAGTAATTGAACTGGGCACCTGCGGGAGAAACGATGGGGGGGAGAAGAACCTGCAAACAAAAACGGCGGCGCGCGGGGGGGGGGGGCGGGAATTGGAACCTGCGCGGGAGGAAGACGCGGCGCGGCGACCGCCGGCGCGCGCGCGCGGAGCAAGCGCGCGGCAGATGGCAGCGCAGGGCAAGGCGGCGCGCGACAGGCGAGAGGCGGCGCGCGACGGACCGCCGGCGCGCTCGCGCGAACAGGCAGGCCGCGGCACGCACCAGCGCAGGGCGCAACAGCACGCAGAGGGCGAAGCAGCACGCGCGGGGCGACGGCCGGCGCACGCGCGCGCGCACCCCGCGCTGAAATCCCAAGCGAAGGGCGCACGCCCCACGTCCTGCACGCAAATGTAGGAACCCCCAAAACGCCGCGGCGGGCGCGGGCGCCTCGCGGAAGGGCGCGAACCTGCCCGCATCGCCTGCGGCGCGCCGCGACGCGCGCGGGCAGTCCGGCGACGCGGCCGCGTTCGCGCCTGCGTCCGCCGCGCATCGGGCCAGTGACTGTAGGCGATTGAACGGGGGGCCGAGCTCGTTCCATGCACTGCCCCATCTGTGCGCACTGGGTGTTCAGAAGAACATCGTTATGCCCATTCTCTTCGCTCGCGCGTCTGGAGAGCGTCTCGAGTGTACAAAGAGCGACGGTTAGGAGGAGGAGGAGGAGGAGGAGGAGGAGGAGGAGGAGGAGGAGGAGGAAGTGGAAGCAAGAATCGGGAGAGGGAGGAAGGGTGATAGAGCAAAGGAAGAAAGGGAGGAAGAGGAGCAGCCGGAGGAGGAGGAGAGGAAGGGGGGAGAGGGGAGGTAAGCAGGGGGAAAAACAAATCATATTCTCTTGTCCACCTCCTCATCCGTTTCGCCCTCGCCATTCCCCGCCGTCCTCCATCGCGCCGGCCCCCACCCCCATCCCGCGCCCCCCACCCACCCCGTCGAAGTATCCTCCTCTCCTTGTCCCGCCCCCCGCCCACGTCCGCCCCCCATCCTCGCCCCCGCCCCCCGCTCGCGAACCCAACAGGGTGGGAAAGATAGGTGCGTGGGGGGACAGATGACTTGCGGGATGGGTGGGTGGAACCACTGGAAAAGAGAGGTGCCTTCTTCCGGTCGAGCGACGGTAGATCGCGCTCCATCGACCAGTACATCGCTAGCACAGCTACTTAAACCATCCATATGTTTCTGGCGCCCCTCGCCGGATCGGATTTTGGACCCAGCCGCTCCCCGGCCTACCCCGGGCGCGCCCAGACGCTCCTGGGCGCTCCCAGGCGATTTAATCCCTACCCAACAAACGCTCCCAGGCTCGCAGTCGCCACCAGCAGCAACAGCATCCACATCCTCATCTTCATTGGCCTCGTCGCCGCAGAAGGCCCACAGAAGCATACGAATTCAGATCGCATTGGCGCGTGGGCCACTGACGGTATTCACAATGGTACTTTCGCGCTGCTGGCGCCGCACGCCATCGCTCCACACAAACAAACAAAAACTGATCAAGGGCGGACCGTTGTCACAAAGGGGCTCTCACCCAGGCGCCGTGCACGCTCGGCGTCCACAGTGCCCTTAGCTCTTAGCTGCGCGAGTGGATGGCGAGCCCTTTGCAAGACGCTGGGGGCACTCTTTCTCGCCTCGAGCCCGAGTGCTGGCTGGCAAGGGCGATTTCAACGTGGCTGCCCACGGTGCCGCACCGCGCACGAAGGCCAGGAGGGACCCATGCACGGTTTCCCCTGGGGCCGTAGGCGACCCGAGGAGGAGGAGGAGGAGGAGGAGGAGAAGGAGGAGGAGGAGGAGGAGGAGGAGGAGGAGGTGGAGGAGGGGGATGGGGGGGGGGGGGGGGGGAGGAGGTGGAGGGAGGTGGAGGGTGGAGGAGGAGGGGGAGGAGGAGGAGGGAGGGAGGAGGAGGAGGAGGAGGAGGAGGAGGAGGAGGAGGAGGAGGAGGAGGAGGAGGACGGGTCGCCTACGCCCTTCGCAGAAACCCTCCAGGGACCCCAGGGCAGCCAAGACCCTCGGCCTCCACACAGCCCAGTGGGCCAGGGGCCCGCCTCCTGCCGCAGGGCAGCCCTCGCCGCCCGCTCTGCCACCGCACGGCGGCCGCGATCGGACAAGGAACCCTTAGATAAGGAATCCAGGGTCTGCAAGCTGGTGGAACTCCCATCGTGATTCAGCTATGGATATCACCGCCGCCCTCCTCCTCCTCCTCCTCCTCCTCCTCCTCCTCCTCCTCGGATAAGGAATCCTCCAGGGTCTGTAAGCTCCACATTCCTTCACGAACGCTCCCGCCGTGTCGGGGTCTCTCCTTGGCGTCACGCGCACTCGAGTACAAAGTCCAGCATCTACACTCACCTAACCCTTCCTCGACCTCTACGACCCGGCGTTTCATACTGCGATACAGCCAATACAGACGGAGGGCGGCGCCTCTTTCGAAGTGAGGCATTAGCGTGAGACTTCGGCGAAGCATACGTCCACGAATGGATTTCTGAGGAGGTTGCAGCATCGGTTGATGCGTCGTGGATTTACTCTGGTCCTCTTCCTCCTCCTCCTCCTCCTCCGCCTCCTCCTCCTCGCTCCTCGCTCCCCCCCCTCCTCCCGTCCCCCTCCTCCCCCTGCTATCCCTCGCCTTCTCCGCCTCCCTCTCTCCGCCCTCACTCTCTTCCCTCCTCCGCCTCCAACCTCCCCCTTGATCCTCTCCCTTCTCTCCTCGCTGGATCGCTCCTTCTCTGCTGGGAGCCCACGTGGCACTGGAGCTGCGCCGCGCAGCGCTGTCGCTTTCGCCCTCCGAGGGGAGGTGGGTGTGTAACGAGGAGCCTTCCAGCCGGTGTTCGCTCTCGCCAGGGAGCGAGGGGAGAGTGCACTTGCCCCGCCCTGAGACGCAGCCAGGACGAAGCTAAAATCGGGCGAGGGTAAATCGAGAAGCTCTGAGATCCGGCGGCTCTGGAGAATTGATCGGGCGCCGCGGCCTTCTCAGAGCGTTCCGGAACGCTCTGAGAGCGTTCCGAAACTCTCCGGGACGGATCTATCCTCGTCCTGGACACGTCCGACGCCCCCGTCGACCTCTGAGATCCGGGCGTTGCCATTTTTGCTCGCCTGGCGTGTTCGCCCACGTTCGGGCCCCGGGGCCACCATGAACCGACCCTGCTCGAAGGACACACAGGGCTCTGGTTGTGAGCTTCCCACATTTGAAAATCATTTCGCCACGTCGGACCTCAGGAGAGGAGGGGAGGAGGAGGGAGGAGAGGAAGAGGGCAGCGACCGGGAGAGAAAGGCGCACGAGGAGGGGGGAGGAAGAAAAGGAGGAGGAGGAGTACCAGTGCAAACCCAAGACGCATCAACGGTGTTGCAATAGAGCCTCCCTCTAAGTTCCCTCTTCATATGCCACTACAAGAATGTATATTCATTGCGGGAAGTGCCCCACTGAAAGATAACCGTCTGAGAATCCCCAATCGTGCCAAAACATCGTTCCTGGAACTTCAACGCCGCGAATGAACGTGACTGTTGCGCCCTGACAATCCTAATTCGTGCCAGAACACAGCTCCTGGGACTTCCACACCGCGAATCATCGTGACTGCTTGACAATCTAAAACCGTGCCAAAACGCAATTCCTGAGACGCCATTCCTGTGGATTCCATCCCTGAAGCTTTTGCCACAGACAAATGTGCGGGTCGCTCAGGCGAAGGCCACATTGTTAAAACAACCCGCTCTCCATCTTCGAAGCTTTCCCAGAATATTGAAACGAATGTGCGCGGCGATGGCGCGAAAACAACATGTTGAAGCCAACCCGCCCGCATTCAAGCTGTTGCAAATTTCAAGCTTCAAGATGCTTCAAAAGACGCACCCAGCCGCACTACCACACGTCTGAGGGCGCGACAAGGAGGAGCTATTCATAAAGAAAAAACAGGGGGGAGGAAGAGGAGGAGAAGAAGAAAGATAGGAAGCAGGATGAAGAGAAGGCTCGGAGGATGCGGGAAAGGGGCAAACAGTGCGCCTGCGCGGAGGCAGTAGGTGTCGGAACGACAACGACAGCGACAGGATGAGGGTGATAAGGAGGAGGGAGATAACGGGGAGGGCTAGGAGGAGGAGGAAGAGGATGATGATGATGATGATGATGATGATGATGATGAGGAGGAGGAGGAGGAGGAGGAGGAGGAAGAGTGCGAGGCTTAAGACAGGGACAAACGCAAGGAGGGGCAGCAGGGGAACAAATTAGAAGAGATAAAAGGAAGAGGGGGATGAGTAGGGAGAGGAGACTGGACCCTCCCGCATAAACCCCCTCTGCCTTCTCTCCCTATTGAAACTTGTTTCTCTCTCCTCCTCCTCTTCTTCCTCCTCCTCCTCCTCCTCCTCCTCCCAAGTGTGTAGCCCGCCTAACACCCTCTCTCCTGGTCCTCTTCCTCCTCACCCCTTCCCCTCCTTCCTCCCTCTCCCCCCTCCGTCCTCTAGTCCCTTTCTGTATCCTCCTCTTCCTCACCCTCTTTTGACGTTCGGCAGACTTGGATCAGCTGGGATCGCAGTGTCTGCAGTCCTCCTCCTCCTCGTCATATTCCTCATCCTCCTCCTACGAGCTACGAGCTGTCGGCAGTAGAATTCGTCGAACGCTGGCATCGTTGCTCCTGCTCCTCCTGCTCCTCCTCCTCCTCCTCCTCCTGCTCCTCGTCCTGCTCCTCCTCCTGCTCCTGCTCCTCATCGTTCTCCTCCTCATCCTCGCCTTTCTCCTCCTCCTCCTCCTCCTCCTCCTCCTCCTCCTCCTCCTCCTCCTCCCTGCCTCCTCGAGTGCAAGGAAAGTGCTCTGTCGACCGCTCTCTGCTCGTGGAAGGGGTAGCTTTCACTACCGGTGCCAAGACTGTCGGGGGAGGGGGCGGCCAACGGGTGGGGTAACCGGCCGCGCTCGAGCCGGAAGCGGCCGATGGCGGGCGGAGAAGGAGGACGAAAAGGAGAACAAAGGGCGAACGGAGGGAGACCAGAAGGAGGAGGAGGAGGAGGAGGAGGAGAAGGAGAATGAAGAAGAGGAGGATGACGAAAAAGAGGAGGATGACGAAAAAGAGGAGGAGGAGGAGGAGGAGGAGGAGGAGGAGGAGGAGGAGGAGGAGGAGGAGGGAGGAGGAGCGGGCGCGTCGATGTTTCACTGCGTGCTGCACCAGGCCAAACTCTGCAAGCAGGTTGCAGCTTGGCGGCAAGACAAGTTTGTCCAAGTCGTCCGCCAAGGTCTCTCTCTCAGGAGAACGGAAGGAGTCCAGGAGGAAAAAACAACAAAACGTTAACTGTCGGAGCTCCGCGCGGACTCCTTGGACCAGAGCGGGCCCCCCCTGGCGGCGCCTCCAGAGCTGCCCCTGGCGCGCTTCGCGCGCCAGGGAGGGGGCTCCAACACCGTTCCAAGAGATCCGCGCGGAACACCGACAGTTCAAGTATGCAACTGTTTCTTCGAAGTAGAACAGAGGAGGAGAAGGAGGAGGATGAGGAGGAGGAAGATGAGGAGGAGGAGGAGAAAGGTGAGGATAAGGAGGAGGATAAGGAGGAGGAAGAGGAGGAGAAGGATGAGGAGGACGAGGAGGAGAAAGAGGAGGAGGAGGAGGAGGAGGAGGGCGGCGACGATGAGGGATGATGGCGACGAGGACGGATGGGAGGGAAGCGGGGACGATGGCGGAGGAGGCGAAGGAGGAGGGAAGACGAGGGCGACGGAAGGGGGGCGGCAGGGTGAAGGGGGGACGAGGAAGAAGGAGGGAAGAACGCGCAGAGAAATGATAAAAGGATGGAAGGAAGATAGGGGAGCAGGTGGAGGATGGCGGAGGCTGAGGAGAGGAGGCTGAGGTCGAAGAGTAGGAAACAGGCCGCCGCCGTCGTTCGTCGCCGTCGTCAGCGCCGTCGCCGTCGTCGCCGTCGCCGTCGCCTGTGTGTCATGGAAGTCGCCATCGTCGTCGTCGTGGTCGTCGTCGTCGTCGTCGTCGTCGTCGTCGTCGTCGTCTCCTTCGACGGGGCAGAGGGGGGTGGGTGGGCCCCTGCTCCAGCTCTGGCTGGCACGTCGGCACTGTAGCCAGCCAGGGCGGGGGGGGGAGGGGCAGAAACAGCGAAAACACGAGCGGGAGCACGAGGAGGAGGACGCCAATAGAGGAGGGGGAGGAAGAGGAGGAGGAGGAGGAGGAGGAGGAGGAGGAGAAGGAGGAGGAGGAGCAGCAGGAGCAGGAGGAGGGGGAACAGGAGGAGGAGGAGGGAAAGAAGGAGGAGGCGGAGGAGCAGGAGGAGGAACAGCGACCGTACCTTCCCTCAGTCTGCAAGCAGTTCTAAACCCTCAAAGCGTGAATTGCGACGGCCAGGCACTCTGCGCCTGTAGTGTCTAAAGGCGCGGCGCTGGGCGTTGCGAGCGCGATTGTACGCAACGTGCTACACGAATGGTATGGCATGGCCGCGCGGTGCGCAGCAGCATCGGCTGCGTGATCGGGACAAGGGTTGTGTTGGTCTTCCGTGCCGGGGCCAATTTGGGCGAAAAGGTCGGGGAAAAGGGAAGGAACGGGATAACGCAAGGCAGTGGAGCAGGCGAGGACAAGAGAGGTAGTGGCCACTGCGGTCTGGGCAGCCTGCGCACCCTCGCAAACAGGCCTTGCGCGGCCTGAAGGGGAGGCGGTGGCTGGTCTTGGTAGAACTCCAGCGCAGCGTTGGCGCCTCCTTGGGGAAGTGCTACGAGAGCTTCTGCCAGCCTGCAGGTCAGCTGGGACCTGCACGGTGGGTAGAGCCGTGGCCACGCGACGGGCAACATCTCAACAGACACATCGGAATAGGGAGAGGCGTGGAGGGCTGGAGCGAGGGTACGCTGCTCGCTAGCCCGTCGCAACACACGTGCGGCAGAGGAGTGCTCTTCTTCCGCCGCACGTTGCGCATCGCGCCGCCTCTCACGTGGCACGCTGCGCTTGCGGGGGAACGCCAGCGCGTGGCGATGCCCAGTACTCGGTGAGACCATGGCATTGGCAACTTGCGGGGAAGATCGCGCCACCGATGCGACAGACTGCCAGGCGTAAGTCGGGCGTGTCCCCCTACAGGGGGATTTTCGACGACAAATAAAAAAATACCCCAACACTACTCCAAAATGGTCAACAAATACTCAAAACATAATCCCCATACTACTTTTTTGACTATTTTTGGATATTCCCCCTGTAGAGGGACAGGCCCGACTCAATGCCAGGCCTATCAGTGAGACATCTAGATTGATCTGACCCTGCGCCACGCTTAGCAGCGTGCGCGGGCTGCCGGCCATGATCTCTGGCCTCTGCCGCCCTGCCATCGGAAGCAACTTGAAGAGGCACTCGCGCTTTTGATTTGGAGGCCACGACCGCATGCCGAGGGGGTCGACGAGGCAACAGGAAGGGGAGCGCGCAGAATCTTCCGAAGCGTGCCGCGCCCGTGCTCGAGAACCGAAGGCGGGAATGGAAATACTACGATATGTCGGGCAGGATACAAGTGACGCGCGTATTGTACAACTTGATGGCGACGGTGGGTCCTGGGACTGAAACAGAGAGCTTAACGACCAGCTGCCAATATGTGTGTCAAATGCTGCTGTCCAATGAAGGTCGAAGGAAGCTGCTGGGCCTATCAGGACGCCTAGATACGTTGTACAGGGGACAGTCATTCATGCTGCAATCTCTGAACCAATCAAGAAAATAGGACGTTGGGCATTGGATGGGGCAGCCGTTGTCAACTCGCCCAAAAGAGATACTACAATGCTCTTCTGGATCTGCAGCCCGAAGCCTGGTAGGATTGTTATGGCCCGAAACGGATGTGACACGAAAGGGAACGGGGCAACTCGAGCAAAAGTGAGCACTAAGTCGTCCGCGCAGGCACCGGGCTTGATGGCTCCTGCAAGAGTAGCAAAGGTCGAGATCAGGTAGCGCATTGGGGCATCGAGCGCTAAAGATCAAAAGCCACCTGAACGAGGGCATTCCTTGAGGACCCCCGAGGCGACGTCAAACATATTCTGGAACCTGCCACCGGCCCGAGCCCAGGCAGCTGGGGAACATAATGGCAGCGAAGTCGCGCCGAGGCATCCTGGGGGCAGGCCATGGGCCTCGTGGGCCGCATAAAAGGAACACCCAGGCCAGGGACGGGAGCGCTGCTTTCAGACCATGGGCAGGCCATCGTGGGCTGCGAAAGAGTGGCGAATCATACGGGTCTCAGCGTCGGGCTCCAGGATATGATCCCCGAAGGTCCTCCATTTGAGGAACCTTTTTGGGCGTCGACGATTCGTTCCTTCACCCGTTCACTTCGTGGGCAATGAGTTTGGCATCGCAATTCTGGAGAGAGAAGGAGAGAGAGAGAGAGAGAGAATACACATACCTATATAAACAGAAAGAGAGATACAGAGAGGGACGGGTCTATATATATATATATATATATATATATATACTAGAACCACGCGCGCGCTTCGCGCGCGCTTAGGTTCTAGCTAGGAGGCGAGCTTGAGTCAACGAAAGTCGCAGGGAAGGGGGCAGGGGGAAGAAGGCCAGAGAGCGCTGAAGGATACAAATACTGGAACCCTCTTGTGATTTTGTGGGGGGCCTCGTCCGGCCGCTCGCTGGGAGTTTGACGTAGCTTCTCGGGAGCCTCTGAACCTGTCGGGGGCCTCCTGGAAGCAGGTTCGAAGCATTTTGGGGGCCGATTTGGGGCTTCTCGGGGCCTCCTTTGGGCCTCTTGGGGGTCTCCTGGGGCCTCTTGAGGGGCCTCCTTGGGGCCTCCTGGCGGCCTCTTGGGGCGGAAGGCTCGAGCTTGCGGTTCGTGGTCCCCCTCTGGGCCCCCTCTTGGGCCCGTCTTGGGGCCCTCTTGGGCCATCTTGGGCGCCTCTTGGGCCGTCTTGGGGCCCTCTTGGGCTGTCCTGGGGCCCTCTTGGAAGCTTCTTGGGCCGTCTTGGGGCGGTCTTGGAGGCCTCTTGGGCCGTCTTGGACGCGGTGAAAGCCCAAGATGCGAACATGCGAAAAATATACGTTTTCCCATAGGAATGGCACGATTTTTGTTTCTTGGACCTCTCTTGGGGTGCCTCTCGGAACGTCTTGGGCTGATTTTGGAAGCCTTTTGGCGCCTCTGGGCGGCGTTTTGGCGCCTCCTGGGATATGTTGGGCCGGAAGCTCGGAATTCGAGAGTGGCTTTCTCCTTCTGGGACCCCTCTCGAAGTCGTCTTGGGGTTCTCTTGGGCCGTCTTGGGGCCGTCCTGAGCCACTCGTGCGCAGCCTTGGAGCGCTCCCGGAGGCCTCCTAGGCCGTCTTGGAGGCCTCTTGGGCCGTCTTGGACGCGGTGAAAGCCCAAGATGCGAACATGCGAAAAATATACGTTTTCCCATAGGAATGGCACGATTTTTGTTTCTTGGACCTCTCTTGGGGTGCCTCTCGGAACGTCTTGGGGTGCTTTTGGGAGCCTTTTGGCGCCTCTTGGCGGCATTTTGGCGCCTCCTGGAGCCTCTTGGGCCGGAAGCTCGGAATTCGAGGTTGGCTTTCTCCGTCTGGGACCCCTCTCGAACTCGTCTTGGGGCTCTCTTCGGCCGTCTTGGGGCCGTCCTGGGCCACTCGTGCGCAGCCTTGGAGCGCTCCCGGAGGCCTCGTAGACCGTCTTGGGCGCCTCTTGGGCCGTCTTGGACGCGGTGAAAGCCCAAGAGGCGAACATGCGAAAAATATACGTTTTCCCATAGGAATGGCACGATTTGTGCTTCTTGGGCCTCTCTTGGGCTGCCTCTCGGAGCGTCTTGGAGGCTTCTGGGACCTTCTTGGTGTCATGACAGGCGTCTTGGAAGGCATCTGGAGCCATCGGAGCGCGTTCCGAAGCCGCCTGCGAACGATCTTGGACGGCGTCCGGCGGTCCGACGAGCCTCCGGGCCCCCTGGGGCCCACATTT